CGGCTTCAAAAGAGCCTTATTACAAAGATGAAATGGGCTGATGCATCGAATATGCTCAGTGCATGAGCTTTCGTCGTAGCCTGGACAGGGCTTGCATGCAGGCGGTGTTTATTGGGGGGGTCCTCCTAGGGACGGGCACGGGGGAGGGCTGGGAGGAGTGGAACTGAAAGAGAGGGAGCACCAGTGCAGGAGTGACCCTGAGTTGATCATCCCTTGACTCGGTACTGCTGGACCTGCCTCCCTTACGCAGGTGGAGTGGATCTAAGCCTGGAGGACGGGAACATTTATCCACCAGCTCCCATCCTCCTGCTCAAAGCTAATCCCTCGAGCTTTTAGCGTCCACACAGGTGCAAGGCAGCTCCCCTGGGCCATCCACCCAGAGCCATGGGGCAAAAAGCAAGAAATAACTGAATCATGGCTCCGGTGCTGCGAGGGCGGAGCTGGTGGCTACATCAGTGAAGGCTGGAGTAAAAGGGGGGCAGAGAGGCATGAGGCGCGGCTCAGGGTGTCCGTTCGCTCTCAGTAGGTGTCCGCAGCTGCCGCTTAGAGCAAGTGAGGAGCACGTGAACTCGTGCTTGTGAAAAGCAGTAAAGGGTGATGCAGATGATCACCATTATTCAGTCTCCCTCTAGCATTCTTTTCTCCACGGTTCCCTTCGTCACAACAAACCTCTGAGGTGGCCCATTGTGGGGGCACCCTGGGATGACTCACGGAGTGACCAACTCATCCCCGTTTGCCTGGGACTTTCCTGGTTTTACCTATGTCCTTGTTCCCTGAGGCCTGGTCATCCTAGCTCAGGGCATGTAAATAAGGGCATGACCTCAAGACATGACCAGCCCAGCCCAGAGGCTCACATGTTGCCAGCACACCCTCCCGGCACCACGGTTCACATTCCATTCACCTGCTTCCACGTCCAGGTGGATCTGTGCTCATTTCAGACACACCGCCACCCTTTCCCTCAGAATCAAAGATTCGGTTTCCTTTCCTAAAGCCATATTGGTTCATTTTCATACATCGTAGAAGACTCCAAAAATACAGAAAAAAAAATCTAAAGAGGAGAATTTTAATTCGCTCATAACCCTATCACCCAGAAACGAAACACTGCACACACTTTAAGATATTTCTTTTCAGATGTTTCCTTTGAAAAAGGTGGTTCATGATGTAGGTGTACATTCCTACACTCTTAGGGCAGGGAGATCTCCCTCTGGCCCAGTTCCTGAGTTTGGGGTGTTGTTGTTTTTTTAATATTTCTTATTGATTTTTAGAGAGAGAGGAAGGGAGACGGGGAGAGACAGGAACATTGATGTGAGAGCGAACATCAGTGGGCTGCCTCCTGTAGAGATGAGGTTAGCAAAATGCATTGGAAGAGATTTGGAACAGTCGTGTGTATACCCAGGCTAATGTTTCAAAACCTTAGTTTTATTTTCAGATTGAATGTATAAATATATGGTTTCCTCATGTCTGTCAAAGCGTATTTTCCTTTTAGCATTACCAGTGTTGGAGCAAGATTTATTCCACTGGTCCCTACACTATTAGTTTCCTTCTAGGATTTTCAGCAACTTTTGGATTAATATCAACTTATGGTTCTTTGGGTTAATATCCAAGATTGAAAGCACTCATACAACTCAACAAAAGGAAGACAAAATCCAATTGAAAAATGGGCAGAAGACCTGAATAGGCATTTCTCCAAAGAGGACATACAAATGGCCAAGAGATAAATGAAAAAATGCTCAAAGTCACTGATCATCAGAGAGATGCAATTAAAACCACAATGAGGAATCACCTCACACTGATCAGAATGGCTATCATCAAAAAAATCACCAAACGACAAGTGCTGGCGAGGATGTCGGGGAAAAGGGAACCCTAGTGCACTTCTGGTGGAATGCAGACCGGTGTAGCCACTATGGAAAACAGTACAGAGTTTCCTCAAAAAATTAAAAATGGAACTTCCATTTGACTCAGCAATCCTACTTCTGGGAATATATCCTAAAAATCCTGAAACACCAATCAGAAATGATATTTGCACCCCTATGTTCATAGCAGCACAATTTACAATAGCTAAGATTTGACAACAGCCCAAGTGGCCATCAGTAGGTGTATGGACACAAATGTTGTGGGACACTGACACAATGAGACAGTGGTTCTCAACCTTCCTAATGCCGCGACCCTTTAATACAGTTCCTCATGTTGTGGTGACCCCCAATTTCATTGTTAATATGAACATAATTAAATACAAATTGAACATAATTAAAGCATAGTGATTAATCACAGAAACAATATGTAATTATATATGTGTTTTCCGATGGTCTTAGGCAACCCCTGTGAAAGGGTCGTTCGACCCCCGAAGGGGTCGCGACCCACAGGTTGAGAACCGCTGCAATGGGATATTATGCAGCTAAAAAAAGGGGTCTCTTACCTTTGGGACAGTGTGGATGGACCTAGAGAATATTATGCTAAGTGAAATAAGCCCGTCTGAGAAAGACAAATATCACATGATTTCACTTATTTGTGGCATCTAATGAACAAAATGAATTGACCAACAAAATAAGACCCAAGCCCATGGAACAGACTGACATACCTTGATGTGGGGTTGGGAGCATGAGAAGAGATAAACCAAAAAACTTACATACTTACATGCATGGCCCGTGGGCAATAAGGTGGTGAAGACCTGGGATGGGTGGATAGGGGCTGGGAGGATGGGAGTAAAGGGGGTGTAAACGGAAGACATCTGTAATATGATCAACAATAAAAAATACACATAAATAAGCAATAAACAGGTTTTCTTAAAAGTAAGACCTATAGGTATTGACCTGGAGCAATGTTTGTACATATTGTTCAATGAAAAAAGCAGGTGTTAGAGTATAATTCCATTTTAAAAAGAAGGGTATAGGCATTCTCGAAACCCGTTCATCAGACCCTTATAAACCGAAACATGCAACTCTCGTATGAGCCAGCATTTGCACTCCTGGGCATTTATCCCAGAGAAATGAAAACCGAGATTCCTCCCAAAACCTGTACCTGAAGGTTTATAGCAGCGTTATTAGAAATAGCTGGAGTCCCGGCCAGTGTTGCTCAGTTGATTGGAGCATCGTCCCGTGCACTGGAAGGCCATGGGTTCAAACCCCGGGCAAGGCACATGCCCAGGTTGTAGGTTCGATCCCCAGCCAGGCCAGTGCGGGCGGCCCGCAGGGCCTGGAAAAGGCTTGCTCTGGGTCGGGGGTATGGGAGCCAGGAAGGAGAGGAGGGTGTGGCTGGCTTCCGCGTTCCCCACCCCGGCCATCCTGACCCAGCCTGCCCTGGTGCTCTCGCCTCTTGATCACAAACACTTGTGATTCTCTGCCAGCTCGCTCGCTCGCTCACGAAAGAGTAAGGACCCGCCGAGCAGAGGGTGTGTGATTTCTGGGTCCACTAGCAGCAAACCTGCTTGGAGGCATCACCAGGGGCCAAGAAACATCTAAGTGCCTTTTATATATTATCTTGTGCCAAATCCTTAGGCAATAAGGCCTGTGGTTATCTCTGTTCTACCGAGGAGGAGACTGAGGCAGGTGGTAAGTTGTGTGTGTTTGACTTAGCATTGAGAACACGGTCAAAGTGCATAGCACTCAAGGCACCACCTGAGACCCTCCTCTGTCCCTCACCACCTCTCACCACCCCTCCCCAAGCCCGCCCACCCACCAGTGGCCCCCGAGGCCTGAGTCCCGTGGGCCTGCAGGAAGCAGGGACCTTACCCAGCATCCTAGCTCTCCGGAGGCAGCAGACGGCGGGGGAAGCTCGGGGAAGCAGCCAGGAGGCCGGCTAATGGGTAAAGGATGGGAGAGCAGTGTGCCATGCCTATCAGCGGCTGCTCCTGGTTAAACGTGCCGAGAGACGGACGCTGGCCTGACGCAGGCCCGGCATCCCACTCTGTGAGGTCAGGCTGAGCTGCGGGGCCAGCAGGGCGCT